CGGAAACCCAAACCTCCCCGAGATTTAGGTTTACAAAGCTTCTCCCACGATACTCAATGCAACTTTTGATGTTATTCACTTGCATTCCACCAGAAATTAGACATTGCACTAGTTATGTTCTTACATTGGTGTTTAGTAAGACGGAAATATGACATTGCATAAACCGGAAGAGCCATGGCAACCGATTTAAGAAGAACTTCTTTACCTCCTAAAGAAATTGTCTTCTGATACCAGCCACTTATTCTTCTTTTCAACCGATAAGTAATATAACTTAGAAGTTCTGTCTTAGAACCGCTGAAACATTCGGGAAGGCCCAAGTACTTCCCAGCTCCACCTTCTTGAGTTATACCAGATAAAAGACTAAGAAGATGCACCATATATGGATCAATCCTCTTACCAAATGTTATAGATGATTTCTGGAAATTTATTTCCTGTCCCGAAGCTCTCCCATAAAGCTGTAAACAGTGAAGAAACTCCGAACACGCTGGGAGTGTGGCCCGACAAAGAAATAAACTATCATCCGCGAAAAGAAGATGTTGAACCGAAGGAAAAGAAGGAGCAAGCCTTATCCCCGTGAGAAGACCTTCAAGCTCAGCCTTATTCATGATGTGTACAAGAGCTTCCGCATAAAAGATGAATAGAAAGGGCGATAAAGGATCACCTTGACGGATTCCTCTTTCTGGCTTGAAAAAAACATAAGGGGAACCATTAATAAACACAGAATAAGAAACTGTACTCAGCTCATTATCCACTGGACCCATCTAATATCAAAACCCATTCTTATCAATAATTCTTCTAAAAAACTCCACTCTACCCTGTCATAAGCTTTAGACATATCCGTCTTGATGGCCATAAAATCTTCATTACAACCAGGGTTTGTTTTCAAAGCATGAACCATCTCATGAGCAAGAAGAATGTTGTCAGAGATTAACCTCCCAAACACAAATGCACCTTGAGTATCCAAAACAATATTCGGTAAAACCTGCTTTAGCCTATTGCATAAAATTTTGGAGACAGTTTTATACAATACCGAGCATAGACTAATTGGCCGGAGATCGGTCATATGACATGGATTAGGCTTCTTCGGGAGTAAGAAAAATTGCGTGAAATTCCACTCCGAAGACAAACAACCCAACTGGAAAAATAGTTGAACTTCAGTGATCACTTGAGGCCCAACAATATTCCAATACTTGTGATAAAAATGGCCCGACATCCCATCAGCCTCGGGAGTACTCTCTCCTTTGATACTAAGAGTCGCTTGTCTAATTTCCTCCCCCGAGACCGGTCTAGTTAACTCAGCATTCATGGCACTCGTGACCCTTGGTACTAACCTGTCTAGTGCTTCCATGACATTGGAAGGTCGTGAGCTCGAAAACAGTTTCCTGAAACATGCAATTGCTACTTCTCCTTTAGAACCTTCAGAAATTTGTTCCACTCCAAACTCATCAACAAGCAATAGAATCGGGTTTTGCACACGTCGTTGCTGTACACTACCGTAAAAAAATTTTGTATTCCGACGCCCTCACCAAGCCATCTTTCCTTGCTTTGTTGTTTCCAAAACAACTCCTCCTCACGGTAAGCTTCCGATATTTCCCACCGTAATGAATTTAATAGAGAAAAATCCGGTTGAACCTTAGCACTCTCCAAATCCAAAAGCTCCCAAAGTTCCATTAACCTCACTTTAGAGTTTTGATTAGTATCTTTTTTTCCATACCGAGATCGTTCTCCGACAGTTTGCAATTATTTGCATCGATGATGATTGGCCCAAAGCTTCACCACTATTCCAACCTGCTCGAATCACTTCAGCAAACCCCGGCTTAAATATCCATCTTTTGTTAAAAAATAAATCTGCCGCGGCAAGAAATATTTTCATTAACAAAGTTAGTTAGTACAGGCCTATGATCCGAGCCAATTCTCTCCAAATACTCCGCTTGAACTCGTGGAAAGATTTGAAACCATGCCTCATTTCCTAATGCCTTGTCTAAGCGACATTGAATCCACATCTTGTTGCGCTCTCCAGCCCAAGATAGTTTGTTTCCAATACTCGGAACCTCCCATAAACGGCAATCACTTATCATATTCCTAAAAGGAAAGAAAGAAGACTCCCCCCGTACTGGTCCCCCCAACTTTTCTGAATTATCTCTAATCTCATTGAGATCACCAACAACAAACCATGGATCATCTCTTGAAAAACTAATGTCTATAAGTTGATCCCATACAACTTGTCGCAATTGAGAAAATGGATCTCCATAAACACAAGAGACAAAAAATCCAAAAGATTCCAGCTTAACTTTTACATCAATAATTCTTGAACTAGAACTCAATACTTCAACTTCATATGATGTCTTCCAAAACAAAGCAAGCCCACCACTTAGACCAATCGGATCAACAATGCAACCATGGTCATAACCCAATAAGCGCTGCAAATTCACTACGTGACTACTAGAGTTTTTAGTCTCCAAGAGGAACAAGAAATCCGGGAAATGGTCACGTCTCATTTCCCTTAAGATCAGAATTATCAAGTTGCCCCTCAAACCTTGACAATTCCAACTCATGAAACTCATCTTTGCTGCAGCGGTTCCTCCATTGAAACCACCGTCTCGCTAGTGTGTTTTGCCACTTTAATTGACAGACACCTTCTTGAATAGCTTTGCGTTTCGAAGAAACACATTCCTCACCACCCTGGACCGGTGCACGTGTGTTAGTACCTTGTGATTTTAAAGCTTGAGCCTTACGCTTCCACTTACTTGGACGTCTACACTGCTTTGTTTTATTTGGCCGAGTCCCAGAATAGCAAGCTGAAAAGCTCGCCTTGAAACCCGTAGAACCCAGCTCATGTGGAGAAGTAGTCGCATAAGTGGCTGAACGAGATTGAACAGGCTGTGATAAACGCGTCATTGCCATACCTTAAGGCACTGCCGCAACAGTACTGTCTTCTTCCTGCCCTGAAGTCGTGCCTACTCCTTCATAATCAAACACTAAACCCTTCCCTTTATTCACATCCGATGTGAATTCTGTCGGAGCCTCTAATCGCAACAAGGTTTTTTGTCCTTGTAGGTCTCCTTCTAAGTCCCAGACCGATTTGCGTACCCTCGCAATGTGGATTTTCCTTAACTCAGGGTCTGCTACAGACAGGTTCTGAGGCATTTCATCGAGAACTGCCTTCGCGATCTTAGGTTTTCCGGTTATAAAATCAATTCCCACATCATCATCTGTTAACACCCCGAAAAGAGGATCATCTTTACTTATCTTGGGGATCAACCTCGCCGGAATAGCCGATGTCGATTTAACTCCTCCCGTAGCAATCACTTGCCGGTTTGAGGGGTTGAGAGGACATCGTTCTTGTCGTGAGTTAACCGGAGACACAGGTACGATCGACATCTTATACGTTCATACTCAATACCAACAGAAACAACTTCACCTGTTGGTGTTTGTAACTCCCTTGAATTTTTTCAGTGGCCTGCTCACATCAAAAAGTATCATCACTCGTACATATCCTTTGCTCAGCAGCTTTAGCGGATCAAAAGCCACATGAGTGACTGTTCCTATGTGTTATGCAATCTCCTGGATCGTATCCTTGACGAGAAAGTTGACTGGGATGTTTCTTAATCGAATCCAAATTGGTTACACTTTCAGGTAGTCTGCTGGAGGTTTCACTACCCAACGTTCCAACCGTTAAGCTCCAGTCATTAGACGTCCAAGCTCCAGCATCAAGTACAGTCGTCAACTCTGCTTCTGAATCGAAGATGAACTGAAACTGGTCATTGGGTAATGCAATACCCCTTGCTTTGTTGTATACTCTCCAGATGCGAGGCATCTCATGGATCGCACTGGACATCTTTTGATTCTCTGGACACAGTAAACGTCCAATGATACTCATCTCATTCCTTTCACAAGAACCGAACTTCGATAGATTCTTCAATACGATCGGTTTCTCATCATCCAACGACATCTCCTTAAGAGCTCTATCAAGCGCAAACTCCATCTCAAATCCTTAACACCTCAACCTTCACACTCTTCTAAATCTCCAAAAGCTAAACGAAGTGTGAAAACCTGGCGGCGAAATAAACCAAACCCTAGTGTATATCTTTCGATACCACTAGAAGATACGAAAATATTTTGTGAATATTCAACTCAACGTGCGGACCAAACAACACCCCAACAAAAACAGTATGTATTCCCGGAATCCAAATGATCAAACCCTAGACTTGAATCCTCTAGGGTTTATCTCTCAAAATTTCCCCTTAGACGAAACCCTCTACTCTTTTTGTTTACACTTTGTTAATTACAATTTTTTGTTTTAATTTAGTTACAATTTTTTAAGTTCTTATAAAAACAATATCAATAAACCAATTTTTTTTTGACATCTATCAATAAACAAATTTTGTAAGATAATTAATTTATAATGTGAATAACCGGAAAAATATATACATTTTGAAGACGAATTAATATTAACATTTCGAATAACCAAGAGGAAATTAATAATAATATGAATTCATATATTTATATGAATTTGAAAGATAAATTCTTATGGATTCGGCCAATAATTTTACAAACCGAAAAGATAGTCATATTTTAAATATTGGGTAACTATATGTTACGAAATCAACACGATTGGATGAAATTTTGCATGCTTCATAAGGATGATAAATCCTATTTTCTGGGATATTTTCAGAATATTTGCAGCACTCAAACTATTCATTTTGATTTTTACCAATATCGGATGATCATAGTATAGCCGGAGCTCAAGGAATATACAAATGATATCTCTCTCTCTCTCTCCGAGGCGATTTGCGAAACATCGCATCTCCTCGTTTCTCTTCTCCGTTTTGAGTGTTTGTCGTCGGTTATCGGCGGTTTCTTCAGGGCTAGGCAACGGTAAAACGGTTATCTGTTTTGTAACCGTCATCCATCGACACCTATATAAGCCCTGCGTGTGTCTCTGTGATCCTCAGGTTGATCGGAGTAAAATAAACTGCTTTCCTTTGTTTATTTTACTGATGGCTGACAAAATTAGGCGACAAATGCAAGAAATCGCTCTGGGTATTGAAGATGAAAAGATTAATCTCCCGATTGATCTCTGTGAAGAAGCGATACAAGCAACACGATTTAGTTTAATCGTTAAACCAGTCAACCCAAGGAAGCAGAATTTGCGGGCAATGTTGGGAAGTTTGCCTCGTCTGTGGGGCGTTAATGATGAAGTTTCGGGCCGGATTCTAGAAAATAAGCGCGTCCAATTCCTGTTTCCATCTGAGGAATCCATGGCTGCAATTGTTCGTCGAGGACCATGGTCTTTTAACGATTGGATGTGTGTCACTGAACGGTGGACACCAACCCAGACGGAGGAAGATTTGAAGACCATTCCTTTTTGGGTACAGATCCGTGGGATTCCTGTCAATTATCTCACACTCCGTCTCATCAGTTTCATTGGCGACTCACTGGGTCGCTTTTTGGAAACCGACTTCGGTGGTGACGGAGCGGTACTTGTTGATTATGTTCGTGTCCGTTTGCTCTGGAATATCGATACCCCCCTGAAGTTTCAGCGTCAATTCCAGTTTGGTGACAAGACATGTGTCCTGAAGTTTCGCTACGAGAAACTTCGGAATTTCTGCGCTATTTGTGGTCTTATGACACATGATGTTGTTGACTGCCCCTCTGGTCACAACCCTCCTCCTCCTCCAGCGGATGACGACGACGATGATCCTGATTACAATCCCGACGGCACTGATGTTAACAGACAGGATACGCCAGAAGAACGACCAATTCAGCAACCACAGGCCACAACTGAGAAGGAGACAACACCAACCGCTTCAAAGAAGAGGAAGACGGAAACAGCGACAACCTCTGAGTATATGGCTTTCCCGTTGGTCTGCTGCGATACACGACACACTTTTTCAACAGAGGATACTCAACAATGTTTCTCTAAGCGTAATCGCCGGCAATCATAAGTGCTCGAGACACGTAACTGGTTTCTGCTTCAAACGGAACCAATGGAGAACGATCCAGGCGCCACAGAAGGCGACTCTCCGATTAACCATGGTGACGGTACGGTGGGCCATAAACCACCGGAGGCGCCATGAATACAGCCTTCTGGAACTGCCGGGGCTTGAAAGGGTCCCTGGTAGTTCGACGCCTAAAAGGGATTAAGGCAACTTATTCCCCGGACATACTCTTTCTGATCGAAACGAAGAATCCCGACGATGTAATCCGTGATGTTGCAGCACAATTGGGTTATGATTGTGTTAAGTGTGTATCTCCTTTGGGTATTGGGGGTGGTTTAGCTATGTTATGGAAGAAGACAATTTCAGTTTGTTTCAATGTTGTAGATGAACGAATCTTTGATTGCAAAATCAATAATAAAGAAGTTTCTTTCTATTTCTCCTGTGTCTATGGCCATCCAATTCGTCAACTTAGACATGTTCTATGGGAAAGACTTCAACGTATTGCTCTAACAAGACATGGCCCATGGCTAATGTGTGGAGACTTCAATGAAATCCTCAGCAATAATGATAAACGTGGTGGCTGCATAAGACAGAATTGGAGTTTTACTGATTTCAAGAATATGGTTAATATCTGCAAAATGTCTGATCTTCCATATAAAGGAAATAATATGACTTGGGTTGGTAAGAGATACAATCATACGGTTGAATGCTGGCTTGACAGAGCAATGGCCAATGATCAATGGCGAGCAAGTTTCCCGGCTTCAGAAGTGGAGTATCTCGAAATGATAGAATCTGACCATCGACCAGCTGTCATTAAAATCAGAAGAACGACTGAACGAGGTTTTAAACCCTTTCAATTTGATACTAGATTAATTTCTAACCCAGATTTTCAAGGAGTTGTGGAACGAACCTGGCTTGATTCTGCTTCCTCACATCTATCTCTCCAAGAGCGAATACGTCTTTGTTGACATACGATATCGGCCTGGAAACGTAATAATAATACCAACTTTGCACTTCGCATCAAAGAACTCATAGCAGAGATCGACCTTGCTCACACGAGTCCATTGACGTCATCAGATCATCTTTAGGGGCTTCGCAGAGAATTAATATTAGCTTACAAAGAGGAAGAAAGTTATTGGCATCTAAAGAGTCGCAACATGTGGATGCAACTAGGAGACCGTAATACGAAGTTCTTCCATGCTTCCACAAAGAATCGCCTAGCACGAAACCGGTTGACGTCAATCATGGATGAACGAGGTACTAGGCTTTATGGAAATAAAGATATTGTTACAGAAGCCACCACATATTTTGGTAATCTGTTCACCAGCTCTGGTCATACTCCCCTTGACTCTGTTCTCTGCAACATCACACCTATGGTTACTTCTGACATGAACCATCATCTCATCTCTGAGGTGACTGGTGATGAAATCAAGTCTGCCCTCTTTTCCATTGGAGCAAGTAGAGCTCCAGGTCCTGATGGCTTCAATGCTGCTTTTTATCAACATTATTGGAACACAGTTGGCCCTATGATAATTGAGGAGGTACAAAATTTCTTTGCGACTGCACGCCTACCAAGGGACTGGAATCATACGAACTTATGCTTAATTCCAAAGATTACTGAACCGAAGACTATGAAAGATCTCCGCCCTATCAGCCTTTGTAATGTTCTGTATAAGATCATTTCTAAAATTCTAACCCAACGGTTAAAAGGTGTCATGTCTGCAGTAGTCTCTGAGAACCAAGCTGCTTTCATCCCTGGTCGCTACATTACGGATAATGTGCTTCTTGCTCATGAAGTACACCACTCTCTTCAGGTTAGAAAACGTTGTGCTACTTCCTATATGGCTGTGAAAACCGATATAAGTAAAGCTTACGATAGGATTGAATGGAATTTCCTACGGGCTGTATTAGAAAAGAAAGGTTTCCACCCACGTTGGATATGTTGGATTATGGAATGTGTCTCCTCAGTGTCCTTCTCAGTTCTGATCAATGGAAGCCCCTATGGAAATTTTAGTGCAACCCGTGGCTTACATCAAGGCGATCCGCTGTCTCCTTCACTCTTTATTCTTTGTGCGGATGTCTTAAGCTCCCTCTTAACTAAGGCGGCTAGAGATGGTGCCATCAACGGTATCCAAATTAGTAATGGTGGTCCACGTCTTTCTCATTTACTCTTTGCCGATGATTCACTTTTCTTCTTAAAAGCAGATCACAAAAATAGTACAAACCTCATGAAGATCTTTAAATCTTACGGTGACGCTTCGGGAAAGATTATCAACTTTGATAAGTCTTCTATTACTTTTGGGAGTAAAGTTTTTCACCAAACACGTGAACGAGTAATAAACACCCTGCAAATACCAAATGTAGGAGGAGGTGGCAAATACTTAGGCTTACCTGAACAGTTTGGAAGACGCCAAAAAGATTTGCTTCAATACATACACACCTAGGTACGAAAAAAGATCGATGGATGGCAAACTAAATTCCTCTCGCCTGCCGGTAAAGAAACACTCATCAAATCAGTGGCGTGTGCAATGCCGGTTTATTCGATGAACTGTTTTAAATTACCAATGGAACTCTGTTCTGAACTGGATAGCCTAGTTGCACGATTCTGGTGGGGATCAACACAAGACAAAAGAAAATTATCATGGGTGGCTTGGAAGAAATTGGTTACTACTAAGAAGGAGGGTGGTTTGTGTTTTAGGGAGTTCCATCCTTTCAATCAAGCTCTTCTTGCCAATCAAGCATGGAAGATTCTTAAACGACCAAATAGCCTTATACACAGGGTTCTGAAGGCACGTTACTTCAAAGACACGACTTTTTTCTCTGCCAGTAATGGTACTAAACCATCTTACGGTTGGCAGTCATTACGGTTTGGTGGAGAATTGTTACGCAGTGGGGTCCAATACACAATAGGGAATGGCCAGAACACAAACATTGGAGATCCATGGATTCCGACTACACCACCACATCCACCTCAGTTACAAAACGAAGAAGAGGCGGTTTTACCAGTTCGCATATTGATTGATCCGCACACTTTCCATTGGGATTCACACCAACTACATCGTTATATCGATACTCATGACCATCATTTGATACAGAAGATATTTCTACCCCAAGTTCCTATGGTGGATGACTATCTCTGGAGTTATACTAAAGATGGGGAGTATAGTGTAAAATCTGGCTATTGGAAAGCCCTAAGTCTCCAAAGAGAAGAACATGCTCCAGTAGCACCTCTAGCAACATCTCCGGATATCGCAAGTACGATATGGCAACTTAACATCGCTCCAAAACTTAAACATTTTCTATGGAGACTCGCCTCAAGAGCCATTGGTGTTGCTGATAATCTACGCCGTCGCAACATAAACATTAACCCATATTGTTCATGGTGCTGTTCGGACTTTGAATCCAGTGAACATATTTTCTTTACATGCCCTCGAGTCCACCCTATATGGAGAATGGTTGGGGTTCCTCTGACCTTATTGGGCGACCCTAATATATCATTAGAAGACAAACTAAGGTACTTATTTCGTCTCCATAATGATTCGAGTCTTCCAATTTTCAAGAGAACATCTCCATTTTTGGTATTATGGCGCCTCTGGAAAACCAGAAATAATTTGGTATTTAACCGGAAATCAACCACTACTGAGGAAGTCTTCAAATACATTTGTCTCGATACGGAAGAATGGCTAAATCATCTAACACCACACGCGCCCATAACTACTACAACATCTAAGCCACTAAGCTACCATGCCCCTACACGCCGCAGCAAGTGGACACCCCCTTGCCAAGGTTGGGTTAAGTGCAACTATGATGCTTCCCATCATGAAGGTAACCGAGATTCGGGCTTGGGTTGGATCATCCATGATTCACATGGTACCTTTCTACACGGTGGGATGGGACGGTTTCAAGGTCGATATACTGCTGCGGAAGCCGAATGCTCTGCATTACTCTGGGCTTTACAATCATCATGGGCTCTCGGTTACCGTTCGATAGTTTTTGAAGGGGATAGCCAAACTTTACACAGAGCCCTGCATAGTCAGACAAACAACCCACGTCTCAGGAACTACGTGAACACTATTCTACAATGGAAACCAATGTTTAGTTCTATTCTTTTTACATTCCAATTCCGTGAACAAAATTCATGTGCTGATAAACTTGCCAAATCAGCACTTCTTTCATCACAGTTGTATGCTCTATTTACTGTCTGTCCATTGTTTTTACACTCCTCTGTAAACAACGATTGTACCAAAAGTTTCTAATAAAGTCATTGGAAGGAAAAAAAAAAAAGTATAGCCGGAGCTCTGTGGGAACTTTTGATGCAAAATAGACATCTAGAATTCTTCTACCATGTTTTCAAGTAGAATTGGTCGATAAACATTCGCATCAGTACGAGACTTTTCGAAAGTTTATCAGACACCCCAATTTTCTCGATTGTTCGTCTCGACCGGCTACCGAGGAATGGAAAATCTCAGAGTGATTTCGAATTTTAAACTACTTTCTTCGACTATCTTCATCCAGAACTCTTCTATGATGGTTGTAAGGAGAATCCATCGGAAAACATTTGCATCAATACGGGACTTTCCGAAACTTGGTCGAGGACCCTAAGTATTTCTCGTCCGGATGGGTCGACCGGTCGAGACATTTCTTCGATTATCGGCAGTCAGAACACTTCTATGATGGTTTTAAGAGAATCCATCGAAAAATATTCACATCGGTACGGGACTTTCCGAAACTTTGTCGAGGACCCCAAGTTTTTCTACCGGCTGATCGATAAGCTTCTACCGGTCGAGACATTTCTTCGACTATCGGCATTTAGAACTCTTCTATGATGGTTTTAAGGAGAATCCATCGGAAAAAATTTGTTTCTTCTTGTGTATCATTATAACCAAGATCTTCTTCGTCGCTATCACTATCATCATATCCTTCAGTTTCAGTTTCTGATTCATCGTTCTCATGATCTTCTTCTTCAGTATTATTATTGTCGCTGTATCCATCACTCCCATATTCATCATCTTCCGTATCCGTTATCTCATAAAAACCTGCATCTTCTTCATCTTCTTCTATTTCATCTTGTTCATAGTCCTCATCCATTGCATCTCTTTTGTCGTCAATATGATCACTGTACATACTATCTTCGTAAGAATATTCGAGTTCAGAATCATAAAGTCGACAAACGTTGGAAATGCATCCCTTGTTGGACAGTTCATCTCGACAAATAAATGTAAAGAGATGATGAATATAAACAAAGCTTGATTTAGACACAGCTTGAACGCTATTCTTCTGTTCATTGTCGTTGTCTACATGGTCCCAAGTATCAAACTTTCCTACGTGTATAACCTCTCCAATGATATCTAAAATAAATAAAAAGTAATCAGTATGAATACAAACCCTAATGTAAAATAATATAGGAAGCAGACCCAAATCATAGTTTTAGTTAATCTTAAAACACAATGTTGAAATAACTTACCGACCAAGTAATCATCACAATGAGAACCATCCGATATGTGTTTATAACCGATAAAATCAAAATACTCTCCACCTCCAACAATCATAGCCTTCTTAATCATGGTTTGACACAAAATAATAACTTTGTATCGATCAGTAGTAGTTTCGCAAGACCCATATTGATCCAGGACTTTGAAATTCTTGATTTCGAGCAAATCACCAACAGCATACTTGGAAATAAATCTATCATAAAGAATACCACGGATGGAACACTGCACCTTTTCACCCTACAAAAGTTGATATACTGGTTAAGAAAGATTATAGTATGTAATCGTAATATTTCTGAATTTATAGTTTTATTAAAATAATTTTAAAAACGCATGTTTTTTAGAAAACAATCAAACCTGAATATCAACTAACACCATCTCCAAACTTGGTCCAAGTTTTAAAAAATTCTCCTCCCATAATCATAACACTTTCATCTGAACTTTCCAGTCATATTTCTAAGGATTTAAACGTGACACACGATCAACAGGATGAATCTTCACCATAATGAAACCTGAATAACCATAGAAACAAATTTGTATAGCTATTGAAACTATGAACAGGAAAAAAAAATTATTAAAATTTGAGTAATGAAAATAAAATCTAACCCTAGAAAATCGTCCGAGGTATAAAAGTTTGGACAATGAATAGTCATATATATATACACCAATACTCGTTAAATTTATATATAATTATCGTTATGAATAATGTCCTTTATTAATAATTTAATATGGACATTTATATTTAACTTATATAAATCTTTTATTTTTTCTAATCTGCTCGTCCTATATTTATCATTATAAATATGTAAAATTTATATTTTTCTTAGTTTAAACTTTTTAAAAAAGATTAAGAAAATTTCAAACAGTCTATAAATAAATAAGCAAATATATAGTATATGTAATACGTATTATTGTAAAATTTCATATATTGAACCACTAATTACTAAAATATTTATCGTTTTAAAATGTTATATCTATACTATTAAAGCTGAAGTACCCAATGAATTTACACTATAGTTTCATTTCTAACTGGGTTAACACGCGGATCTAACTAATTAATCGGATATGTTAATCGGGTTTAATATTTTTAATCACATCCGTTAATCAGAAACTTTAATAACACGCGGATCTAACTAATCATTCAGATCTGTTACTCGGGTTTAATATGTTTAATCACATCCGTTAATTATTATTCTCTAATCTCATTCGTTCATTGTTTACCATTTATTAGATCGGGGTTTATAATGTTAAATCCCATCCGTTAATCAGAAGCATTAATCTCATTCGTTCATTTTTAGCATTTATTAAATCGCTTGATCCGCAAGTACAATGACCTCAATTTGCGTTGTTTATTTGGAAATTTATATATTACCGGTTTCGAAATCTAATAACATCTTACCTAAATTACAAATTCTAATTTATCATCATCCCATCAAATTAGGGAACTATAATCATCAAATATTAGCTAACATATTGGAGAATGGATCTTAGCCCTTAGTTTCTACTAAACAAATCACAATCCTTAATTTCAAAAAAATGACTTGATATTCTAACCTCAATCATCTTCGAATGAATATTGCGTCTAGAGAATATTCTGCTAATTATACTCTCAAATCGTTTAAAATTACCATAATTCAAGTATTTTCCATTCCAAAAACAAATTAATTATAACTCTATAAATTTGTTTCTACGTTTGCTTTTCAATCATAATCTTCTCGCAACCTAAAAAAACCCTACTCGAAAAAATGTCTATGGCTCTTCCCCTCTCATTCACACCACTCAAAGATCTGAAACCTTATAAAAACTCTCATGGCGTATCCAAGTCAAAATTCTTCATAGTTGGAGAATGTTTTCAGCTAACTCTGGTGAATCAATAGAATTGATTCTTGCGGATGAAGAAGTAAGTCTTTTATTTTCCTTTACCATATGTACTTTATATAAGCTTCATATAGTTTATAATTGTGTTTTTTATGTATAGGGTGACAAAATGGGAGCTTCTATTAGAAAGGATCATATGAAAAAGTTTGAAAACAGTTTGCGTGAGAACGATTGGAAGATAATCACCAGCTTTGGCTTGCATCCTTGCACTGGGATGTTCCGACCTTCTCATTTGAAGTACAAGATTACCACACGTTACGGTACCACAATTAATCAGTCTGAAAAGGCTTCTGATGATCACTATTTATCATTCACTAAGTTTGATGATATCCTTGCTGGAACCCTTGACAAAAACATTTTATTTGGTAAGTTTTAAATATAATTATTTTACATTGTTTATAGTTTGTTTTACATTTAAAACATGTTATACTAATCTGTCCTATATATATTTTCACAAATGTTATTGGTCTGTTGAATACCTTTATTTCGTGTAATATGTTTTAACCATTTTGTGTATCATATTATTGCAGACACACGTTACATTGAAAATGCTTTTGAGTCTTCCATTCTGATGATCAATCCACAAATACAAGAGATGTAATCATTTAAGAGCATGTATGTAATAATATCATTTATTTTAAATTCGATTAATCTATCTTTGGTTTTAAACGATATATATGTTTATATGTAGACTTCCAAATGATGGCTTGGCTTTGACAATCAACTCTTCTGGTGATAAAGGGATTTATATCCCCAAAAATGATAATGAAGGCATTGACTACCCTAGGGTTACAATCTCTGAGATGCTTGCTTACTCTCAGGTAATATATATATTCTATCGATTAAAATTTATTTAATCAAATTTTAGTGTAATTTAGACCTTGCTAATCGGGTTGATTTTTTATTTTTTAAATTTTTCAAATTCCATATTATATGTCGTAGGCAGGAAATTGTAGACTGATTTGTACAATCTCCGGAATTGATACCGATATGGGATGGTATTATTTTTGCTGTCGCCCATGTAACAAAAAGGTGTTTAAGGATGATGCTGTTAAAATCGAAGATGTGAAGAAGCAAATTAAACCAAGGTTTTGGTGTGAATAATGTGATGCTTGGGCTAAAATAACAGTTCCAAAGCATGTATATCCTTTTATCGAATTAATTTACTACTATCATATTTATACTATCTATACTGATATCCCAAACGTCATATTAATATGAATTTTTTTTGTTTATAGATACAAACTCCATTTGTCCATCATGGATCACACTGGTGAAAGCAAATGTTTTTTGTTTGATAGTTGGGCTAAAAATATCCTTGGAGGTGCTCCTGCTTCTGAATTTCTTAATGGATCCTTTGGTGAGGTATGCTTATAACACTGAATTAAAATTTATTCGTAATTCATGTAAAGACTAAATCGTAAATTAAATTTACTCTTAAACTTTGTTTGATGCAGATTGAGGATCCAAATTCAATTCCTGATCAAATTAAAGCATTGGTTGGGAAAACTTTCCAGTTTCTAATAACCGTTGGAAACGAAAATGTTTATGGAGGGTATGAGTTCTACAAGGTGTCTAATGTTTGGTCAGGCGAAAAATTCATTGAAATTGCTAATGAAGAATCAGAAAGTTATTTAGAGCATAACAGCATATTGTCTTCTGATCAGGTTTAAATCCTTTTATAATTTTAAAAATATTTTGACTTTTAGAGTTTATTGGACCATTAAGAATTTATTTTATGATTATTAAGAAAGATTATATCTCCTTCATCTCATTTACTGTTTCAGGCTTCCCTTATGATTACCAATGGTACAGAACCTTATGAAACAGATTTGAGTTCCACTTCTACACCTTCATCAAAGCGGAAGTCGGACAGCAGTGGTAATGGAAGTGATCGTTCAAGTTCCACCAAGAAACTGTGCTCCAAGATTGATACTATTCATGTTGATGGAGAAGAAGTTGTGAGGAAAGATTTGAATGAAGAGATTACAAGACAAGAAGAAGATCAAGTCAATTAGTAGTCATTGACTATTAATTTTCCCTTTCAACTAATGTTCAGTTATCGTATTGCTTGCTCTTATTCGAACAATTTAAGTCTTTATATTTTTACATTTCCTTTGGTTTTATTTTTGGATTTATTTTTCGATTCAGTTTTATTTCAAGATTTTTCGGATTATAATTATTTGCCTTGGATTAGTTCTACTTATATTATCTTCTTTCCTTATTTTCGTAAACTCAATATGAAACTAGATATGGAATATATTAGGTTATAATTAAGTCCAAAATTAAGACCATAGCAAGTCTTTCTAAAACGGATGGCAATATATATAGTAGGACAAATAAAAAAGTCTTTATTTGCTTGAAGCCCAAATAAAAATTATCAAATTTACTATTTTACCAGTTAATAACATTTTAATTATTTTACATTTTTATTAAATTAAACAGTTTATACATATACACTAGATTACATAGAATTTCGATTATAAATAGTTTTCTTAAAAACATAAATCATTCGAAAATTCGAATCTCAATTTATACAAAGTTGGATTTCCACAAATCACAAAAGATATTTGCATCATTTCCTTTGGTTAGTACAGTTTCCAAAAGTTGACTAACTTTTCATATCTTTTGAGTTAGAAAACCAGTTAGATTTATTAATAAATGATATTAACTTAGTAAAGAAAATTTGGAAAAATTCCTTTTGCTTGCTTTGCATATTATGATTTGACATGCATGCCTACAAAATCGTGTAAGATAACTCTTTCCAATAAAAAGAAGGAAATAAAATTTTCAAAATATTTAATTTATAAATACGATTCATCTTCTACACAAAATCAACTTTAAGAATCATTACTTACCATTGAATATCGAAATATTCATCTTCTCTTTCAACTTTACCAACAAAAAAAATGGCTGAAAACGAAGAGTTTCTCTTTGAGATCGAGAGTGTAACAGATCTGAATCCCCAAAAGACTTGCTGGTTCGTCTTCGTGAAGGTGCTAAGGAAGTGGAGGCCACCAATCGACTGTTTAGGGAAAATGACTGAGATGATTCTTTGTGATGAAACGGTAAATTTTTCTCCTTTTTTGTCAAAATAGTTGAAGTTTTAGCTTTTATAGAGATTAACCAGTTATAATACTTATACTGTTTAGATTTAAGTTAGATTTTATCATATTTTTCAGGGTAAAAGAATAGATGCAACTATTCCTCCTATCGCTTACATGTTTGACTTCGAAAGGGATATAGTAGAAGGTGAATGGTACTTGATGTCCAACTTTCGAGTCATAAACCCTCCAAAATTCCCTAGAAACTCAAACCATCCTTATCAGATAAAGTGTCTCTATGAGACAAACATGTATCATGTCGATCCAAGATCTGAATCCAACTTCTTTGATTTTCTGTCGTTTACCAACATAAACGCTAATCGGATCAATGACTCTTTCGTTCATGGTAAGGATATCTATAGCTTTCTGTCCTATTCAATATTTGCTTGATAGAAACATTAATATATTGTTGGAAATTTATATTCTTATTCTAGATGCTTTTGGTGTTATTTGGACTGTCTCGGCGATTAAGAGAATCCCATGGGTTGCTATTGAAAATGCAATACAAGCTGAATGTCTATTGGTAGAGATTGAGCTTAAGGATTCAACGTAAGTATTGTTAATTTTGGTTTCAGTTTAATGTATGATTGGTTTAATATAAGTAGTTTATGTCATATATTTATACCTTTTAAATTGGAACATGTTTTAGTGGTGAGATTGTCAAATGTTGTGCTGTGGGAGAATACTGTGATCGTTTCATGCATAGTTGGCATAACAAAGGATATGACGAGGAGTTCAATTACCAGTTAGGTAACGAGCCAGTTGTTTGTGTTCTTTGCCATTGGAGAGTCTCTACTTACGAAGGTATGATCTTGACAATTTAACAATTGGACAATGATACTATCATTTACTTATTAATCTTCATATTTAACAAAATTCAAATATCTTTGGTGTAGGGGAACCATGTCTCATCTCTGGATTCCGTTGCTCTATGATCTTCATGGATCATGATTTCGATGAAATAGACAGAGACAACTTACTGTAAGACGTTTCAATAGATGTTTATCCAAATAGGGCAATGTAGGTTCTTTAATTATAGATATGCTAATGCCACTATCATCTATGTTTTTGATTTCAGGACTGGATTCTTAGCAGATGTTATTGACGATGATGGTCCAAATGTGGTGGAAGAAAACTAAAGAAGCTCATCTATCTAAGTCGTTTTGTTTGGTTGATCCGTCTACATCCTTTTCTTAATGTTATAATTATGTAATGAACTTAAACCTATCTACCTCGGTTCTTATGCTTTTAATTCTTATGTTTTATTATGAAAAACTTAAACGATGACCATGTTTTATGGTCTTTTAATGGATGTTAACTATATTTATCCTCTTTCCATTTAAATTATAGTTTTAAATTTCGAAAACTCGGATTTAGTAGATATTGGGCTTAAACTTAAAACATTGGGCTTAAACTTAAAACATTGGGCTTAATACCCAAATTAAGTTAGAAGTAACAAAGTTTAAACTTACATATGATATGTTTGTAAATAACAAATGTAGAACTTAAAGATTGGGCTTCAATTACCATTTAATATATAATCATACAAACTTAAGTTGGGCCGAAAACTATTTCATATCCTTGATTATATCTTTCAAAAGATATGTAATAGTATAAATTTGGAAAATATTTCTAACAAATTATAAAAAAATCCTAACAACTACTTATATTATGTACTAAAATAACAATGGTTACCTTTTTTTTGGTAAACATTTACTTATTTAGCATAGCAAATACAATATTAAGTTTGATATAGGAATATTTTAAAGATCAAAACTATTTAGTCCTAAATATGCGAAGATAACTGTTCTATTTTATTAGTTAGAGTATCACTGCTAAATTCTCCTCTCTATATAGCAAAAACACGAACCAATTTTATTCCTTAGCTAAAGATTGATCATGAAACGGAAAAAGTGGGTAATAAAAATCGATACAAAGGAGAAATCGCTAATGCAAGTGCTTCAAAGAAATCTCGGAAGGCTGATTGTTCCGAAAACATAGATCCATTAAGACCAACCATCCTCTTATATATTAAAAGAGTACACATTTTGAAATTACAAAATTATGGCCAAAATTTCCCAAAATACCTTTTAATTTTTAAGAAAGGAGACTCTTTATTAAAATTGAAAGGGGTAATTTAAGTCAAATTGTCAATTAAATTCAAAATTAAGATCCAGTTTGCTGTTATACCCGCGCGTCTACCCGTGTAAAATCGGCGACAGTTAGGAGAAGAGAACGGGATGTGGTGGAAGAGAATGGATTTACACGCCGCCGCCAACGACGGTGAAGGGGAGGAAGATGATGGAGGAGGATGTGGATGTAGTGGAATCATCTAGAACAATATTTTCACCGTGTGTACAGGTGACGAATCGTGGCGGAACCGTGGCGAGGAATTCGACTGGAGCTTCGGAGACGAGTATTAATATAGTCCGACGGTGAGATTCGCCACCACCTCCGCCGGTTGGAGAAGATTCTTCGTCGTCGGTTTCGTGCTATTCTTCATTTTCAACAATTAATTTTCTAATTTCATTTAATTTCAATATTAAAAAAATGTTTCAGATTTCTGTTGGCGTCGATATGGGCTTCAGTTTCCCAAAAATATTGGTTAACAGCCGAAAAACAGAGCCCATCTTCTATTCAATGATATACATGACAAATTTCAAATTAATACATTACTTTAAAATTAAAGGAAGTGTAAAAGTATTAAAAGTAATCGTACAAAAAAAATCATTTAGTTGGATATGGAAATTAATATTAGTCATATTAATCTACAATGAATGAAAGCAGATAACGCTTTAGTCAAACTGAAAATATACTACGCAATAACAATAAAACTTCAAAATTACACTTTGCAAAATAAGAACATACCTTTCTATCTGCCATGTTATACCATGCACACAACTACGGTAAAATAAATATACCACAACTTCAAATCACGTACTCTAACTTACTAAATACAACTTTTTTTATTTAAAAATTATTTATATTACTGTACATATACATTTTTTTTTAACAGAAATAATTTTGTTCCTACAATTAACAACCATACTCATATACATATGTGAAATAGATAAAAAAATATTATTAACAAATAAAAACTTATAGAACAAATAGATATACATCATTCTACAAATAGATATACAATATTATGCGGTGTACCACGGAGTAAAATCTTAGTACTAATATTTTCATGCGAATTTTTATATTCATTTAAAAAATATCCAAAGCACTAATTTTAATAATTTTAGATACAGAAAATATCCAACAAAAATAATAAAACAAAAAAAATCATAACAACCGTTCTAAGTTTATGTTCATGTATTATGCAGTTACATTATAAAAAATAAAACAAATTATTTGGTGTATTCATTTTTCAATATATATATTTTTAACAAAGTCAATTAAAAAATTAAAAGGAACAAATTGTGGGTCAACATAACGGGTTAAAAGAATACATCTTTTATGATAAATTATAATATAATATTTAAATATAAAAAATATTTTAAAGTATATTGTGGGTTCTACAACTTATATTATTTTCATTTCCTACCTTTAAATCACTATAATACTAAATAATATATTAAAAAAAAAAACGATTAACACATTAACTTGCAAATTAGAAATGTCAAATTATGCAGCTCGAGTCCAACCCATTGAGTAATGGGACACACTAAAGATGTCAAACCCACAAATAAGCTGGTATCGTGGGTTTCTCTGCGGTACATTTTATAAATCATATGGCGAAAAATATTTTCCCGCGGTGTATCGCGGGTTCAAACCTAGTTGGATGTAATCAAACAGTCCCTATGAAATCCGTTTTTTGAAGAGTTCTTACGGATATAACAAATACACAAAATTCAGGGGGACGACCAATATATCATGGAGCTTCTTCAAGTGCGTCAGTGCTGACTACT